GCATGCGGTTTTATCACACCCCTGACCAACACAGCTACCAACCAACCAGTGTAGTGTAGACGTGGCCTAAGGCAGACCCTAGGGACACATTACCTACAAAAGTGCCACCAATCTCTATCAAACATTAACAAAGGCAGTTCGAGAACTCAGCGAGGGCCACCACTGGATTTCCCGGAGAGTGCAATGGATCTTGATCCCCCAAAAAATGGCCTTTGCATCCGAGAAAGCAGAGTCTGCGCTAAAATACCCATCTGGAGTGGTTCAAAGGCAGTCGATTTGGACCAGAAGATCAGAGCGGACCTAAAACGGTACTGATGGGATTTAAACGGAGCTGACTTTGGCTGGAAAAAGCCTGTCGCTTGGAAGCGAAGCGCCGGCAAAAATTAAGGGCATAGGAGCAACTGAGGCTACTACAAAGAAACGCCTGTTGTGGAGGAAGGAGAAACTAGCAATCTCCCCCCCCCCCCCCCCCGTTAAAGAGCATAATTGGATACCCCTACGTTCACTAGCTTCTCAGGTGGAGCGGGACACTAAAGCAACCAGACAGCTAGAAACTGCCGTGGCAGCTCTCACCCAGAGCGTAAGTTCAGGGAATCCCTAAACTAATCCCCCAATAGCCACCAGAAAGGACAAATGCAGCGGAATGATGGGTCAAAACTGCCCATGGGAAACCTCAGTGGACAGATGTGATCGCTGCTACCCCAGGCACAGGGCTGGCAGGTGCCGTCGGGGAAACAGGAGAGGGTCACAACCGGGAGGGGCAGGGAGTGAGCAACCCCCCGGGGGAGTCCGAGGATACGTGCGCCTACTGCCAGCCAGAAGGCGACGGGGGACAGGCGCCCGTGGGACGGTGTCAGAGCCGCCCAGGTGCCACTTAGAGCTCACGCCCTCCCCGCCCTTGGCACTCTCCCTGGCTCACACGCTACACTTACCCTGCTTCAGGACCTTGTCCCTGACCTTCTGATCCATGACCAGCGGCCTGGGGGGCTCCAGGGGGCCCCCGGCAAAGGGGTTCCCCGGCCGGCCGAAGAGCCGGGCGCCCAGCAGCCCCAAGGCCAGCAGGCAGAGGCCGAGGACAAGCGCAGGCCACATTGCTGCGGGCAGCAGAGCTCAGCACAAATCCCAGCAAAGGAGGCCGACTGGAGTCTATGTGCGCTGGGAGGGGAGGCTGGGAGCAGCAGGTGGGCGGGGAGCCGGCTTGGCCTCCGTCCCAGCGGATAAGCCAAGGGCTGTTAACCCTTTGCTCAGCGCTGCCTGGGGATGCCCGGCCGGGCAAACTCAGCGGAGTCACTGCGGATCCGGCCTGCCCAGCCAGTGCCTCCGCTGCTCTCGGATAAACTGATGCAGTGCTCCAGACCAACTTACCCTGAAGACAGGCTGATCCCCCCACACACCCCTTTGCTCCTTCAGATACAGTGACACACACACACGGCACCGCTGCAGACACTGGCTGTAAGGCGAGCGTGGAGCAGAACAAACCGCGTTCAGCATAGCTGCTCCTTGGCCGAGTTGGGTTTCACCAGGGTTCCCCACATCAGCCCGGGGACTGGATTGCACCTGTCCACAGGTGCCACTGGCTCTTGGCACCTGCTCAGCTCCATGCGGCTGACACGCGTCAGCATCAGGCATGAGACCAATGCCCTAGTGTAGCCAAGGCCATGTTCACACACACCTGGCTCCGCACCTGATTCGCACAGAGCAAGCCCATGCGCACGACTCACTCACACACACACACACACACCTCACCTCCATTCATTCAGTTCCACTCAGCGGCAAACACACACTCTTCCACACATACGCACGCTCATCAGGTACTCACTAGCAAATGGCTCCGCACAATAACAACCTGCCCCTCTCCGGCGCCTTCCCACTGTAGATCTCCAGGCCTTTTACAGACACGAATATTCATTCAAACCCTTTCCAGTTTCACCTCCCCAGGAGATCAGCCCGTATTATTAACACCGATGGGGAAACTGAGGCACAGAATGCCCAAGTCTCCTCTCACACCAATTTTACAACAGTGGCACTCACTTGGCTTCCTTGGAGGATGCCCCTGAAATGCCTGTGCCAAGGAGGACAAGATGAAAACAACACAGCCATCATGCGTGAGGGGTTTGGTTTTTTTTTAAATTTAATAAAAGTAACTGAAAAGTAACAAAAGGAGTCGTTCACTGGCAGGTACATTGGATCAGCTCACACGACCGTAAAAGAAATGTACAGCATCAGGGCTCCGAGCGTCTAGCAACACAGCTCAGAAAGTAACTAGGAATAGAAAAGAGTCAGTACAAAAAAGTCGCTGTCGTTCAATCAATCAGACGAGAAGGGACAGACAGACAGGGGAGGCCGTGGGGACTTAACATTTTAAATTAGGGGCCAGCTCCTCCCCTGGTGTAAAAACGCCATTGCTGGCCAAGCCCATCACAGCTCATGGCTACAGGGAACGAGTGGCGCCCGGCCTGTCCACGAGGCACAGCTGGCAGAAAGCTCCACGGGGCCATGCCCACCCCGGAGAGAAACATGTTCTCACAGGGGCATCTACACCCAAGCCGGGGCCCTCAGCCTGCCTGGGCATCGAGGGGGTGGGGGGCACCTGTGTAACTTCCCCTCCTGCCCTTACCCCGTAGCCCTAAAAATGGTCCTTTTGGGGGAGCAATCAGGCCTGATGTCATATGCCTCATGGACTGGTCGCCCCCCTCTCATACCAAACCAGCCATCCTGGCATGGCACCCCCATCAGAAGGGGCATTTCAGACCAATGACCCCTCCCTCTGCCAGGACCCAATGCTGCCAGAGGCTAAGCCCCTCTCGCCAGCCCCCCTCGACCCCATGGAGAGGCAAGCGCCTCCCACCCGCAGCTCCCAGGATCGGGCCCTTTGACCTGCTGGGTGGGAGCGTTTGTGGGTCCTGCTGCAAAAGGAGGCTGCCTGGCGAAGTGGGGGGGTCTCTTGCCCCTGCAGCACAGCCTGGCCAAGCGCTGGTCCAGAATCGTCACACGCCCCTTGGGCCAGGGTCACAGAGGGGACCAGGCCGCAGAGAGGGCTGGCAGGACACCCGCAGGTTCAGCGAGTCCACCATAAAGCACGGCAGCGCCAACGCTGTAAACACAGCACGAACCATCCAAATTGGCCGGCTTCTAACACGCACGCACACAGCAACGCCGATCCGACACAGACATCACACCGCTGAGCTCTCTAACAAACACGAGTCTAAGAAACGGACAGTTCCAGGGAGGGAAAGGGGAACTATCACCACTCACCAAAAACAAAGAGAAGGGGGGGGGGGAAAACTTTCCACCTTGCTGTTGCTCAGTAGTTACATCGAATCATTATGAACACGTGTGTTTCAAGGAGTCTAATGGAGACGCTCAGAGCCGGGAGCGGACTAGGAGAGACCGGTGGAAATCAGAGATCGAACACGTCCATTTCTCTTGGGGGTGGGGACAGTGCAGGATCATTCGCTATAGTGTATTTTAGTGACACATCCAGAAGGCAATAGGTACATCGTCTTTAAATCCAGTTACTCCCACCCTTCAGTAGGAAACAGAGCTTGGGATAGAAAAGGGGTTAAGGTAAAAACTGTTAGCCGCCGTCCCTGGCTAAGCCCCGCAGAGCAAATGTAAAATTAACACGTGAGTGAGTCGTCATCAGAAGCGACATTCACACGCATTAGTGCCCATTTGCATGCACACGTACTCACGCATGCGCGCACACGGAGGGGGAGGAGAGGGCCTCAGTGTCACCAACCTCAACTGTTCAAAAATCATCAGTCCAGCCCTCCCCCAAAAAATCAGGAGATTGTTTTTAAAATCTCACGACTTACGACTTTAAAGCCAATCATTTTTAGTTGCCAAAAGGTGTCGGAGCCTTTCAGGGTGGTGTTTCCCCACAAACATGAGGGATAGATACTTACTTGAAAAAAAGCTAAGAGTCTCATAGACTCACCTGACTCCGGGAGCTGGGGATTTGACTAATAAACCGTGTGATAAAATGGCGAGAATTGGCAATTGTTTGACAGACACACACACACATACACAAACACGCCCCCGTGGGTTCAGACACAGAGACACAAACTCACAGGGACAGACACACACACACACACCTGCATACACAGGGAAACAAACTTACCCCCCACAGCCCCATTCTCTCATATAACCCCACAGTCACCTACAGATGCAAACCAGTCCCTGGGGCAAAAAGTCCCGCTGATTCACCCCAAACAAACCAGAACTCTCTGGGCCCAGGCCCGGGGGCCAAATCAACCAACTTGCCCAGCATGCCAGGTTTCTGCTGGGTGCTGAGTCCTTTGGATAATCTAACTGCCAGGCTGTAAAGCCTTCAAGCAAAACATTAAAAACCAACCACAAATAACCCCACCAAAACGCTCCGATTTCAGAGCCTGGCGTTTTCTCTTCTTTACACAGATGGCATTTTTTTTAAACAAGGGACATAAACCCTCTCCTCCGTGTTATTGCTACTGTCTTCCAACGGAAATACACCCTGTGGACCGGGTTCTTGGCAAGAGACCCGGGGGTCACTCCCCCAAAGGAGGTGGGAACAGAAAGGGGGGTACAGCTCGGGGGGCGTATTTTAATAGCAAGGAAGGGCCGGGGGAGGGACAGTTTGGAGAGCGCCCTCCCAAAGGGGGTCTGCATTGGAATTGGGGGGGTAACACTGGCTCCCTCTGCCCCCCCACACCATGACGGCCAGCCGGGGAAACCCTAGCAACAGCTGCTTTTAAAGGGGAACTCCGGCCATTTGAGAAACAAGAACTTAAGGCCCAAATTTTTACAAAGGGGCCCCAAATTTGGGGTGCCTGACTTGCAATAAATACAGTAAGTCGGGGGGGTCTCTGGCACCAGAGTAAGGGGGGCCCACGGACAGATCGGGGGGAGGGCAGGTCAGAACTAACACTGACAGCAGTGAATGCTCCACCCCCGTGGAAACCAGGCTCCAGGCATCCCAAGTCGGGCACCCAAAACTGGAAGCAACCCAGCTCCATGGGGGCGGCCATGGGGCCTGTGCGTGGACTCCCCTGGGTCTGGCTTGCCAGGGGCACACTGCAGCCAGGCCAGTTAGAAACAGGAGACGGAGTTTTGCCTTAAGATAAAAAACTCAGCAAACAAAGCAACTGCAAACAGCCCCTTCTTCGTTTACCTGCCCGAGCCAAGGCCAGGGCTCGGCCTTTGCCCTGCTGCAGCTGAGGCCTGAGGTAGTTGCGGAGACACAGAAACCCGCACTCCAGAGCAGAGGGAAGGACTTGTGGGCAGGGGCCGTGTGGATGGGAGTCAGAAGACCCAGCCACCACTGAAGCCAAGAGGAGACAGCATGGCCCACTGGACCAGGTACCCAGAGATTCTACCCCCAGTCACCTTGGGCAAGTCACTTCCCCATCCCGTTGTGCCTCAGTTTCCCCTCCTGCCACTTGTGTATTGAGAGTGGAAGCCCTTCAGGGCAGCAACTCTCTGTGCATATACAGCACCTTGCACAACAGGCCCCTGATCTCACTTGAGGCCTCTAACGGCTTCAGAAATAATAACGATGTCGTGAGGTTCCCAGGGACTGCGGTGATGTCCTGGCCAGCTGTTAGCTAGCGCTTTGCACCGGTCGATCTCAAAGCACTTGACCAAGGAGGGCAACAGCGTCGCCATTATCGCAAGGGGAAACTGAGGCCCGGGGCTAAAATCGCCCGTGGCAGGTCAGGAAAAGGAGGGCAAGACCAGCTACCTTTAATATTTGATGGGGTCGGTTAAGTCTGCGCGTGGATTCGGCTAAAGAAATATGCAAGACGAAAGTCATTACCAAGAAAATAAATAAAGAACCTCCCGCCCCTCGCCGGGTTACTAACAAACCCGTCTGGTGATCAGATCAGAAGGCACCTGTCCTTCCCGCCTCGGCTCTCACATCCACGCAGGCAGACCAGGCTGTACACTGTCCACACACAACCGCTGGCCCCCTCCTATTTTTACGGATCTTTTTTCTAATGGTTTTTGAGCAACAAACCCGACCCTAAACCGCAGCGCCAGCTGGCCCCCCCATTTTCAGGATTACCGCCTCCCCGCCCCCTGCATTTGGCTGAGTGTCTCCGGGGCACCATTTCAGAAAAATTCCAAGAGCAGGGCAAAGTTGCGTTAGTGTATAGAACGTTAGACGTGATCGTTTCTATCCTGCAAAGCTGGGGCGGGGGGCAAAAAGTGGAGCCTACGGCCCTATGAAAAGTTGGGGTGGGCAAACCGAGGTCTAGGGGTGGCAATTACTCCCCTTACCCGATAGCTTGTGATGCCCTTGGCTGGCTCCACCTATCCAATCATTATGGTCTTTATTTAATGCCATTAGTATTTTGCTGTCACTTTATAAATCCTAAAACCTACAGCTGGGGTCTATGGTCCAGAGCCTCAACAGTCTTTATGTTACTTAACTCTCTAGATTCCACCACATCCCCAAAGTAGCTGAGAGCCTCACCGACATTAACAGATGGATTCTCAGCCCGCTCGTGTGGGGGAGTATTAACTTTACCTCATTGGACAGGTGGGGAAACTGAGGCACTGAGCCATTAAGTGACTTGCTCGGGAGGCTGGAGCAGAGCCGGGAATCAAACCCAGATGTCCTGTGTCCTACACCAGTGATGTAACAACAAGACCCTCCTCAAGGGTTGCGCCTTCAACCATTTGGACCTTAAAGCTACTGATTTTCAGAGAAGCCGCAATTCCCCTTCCGTAGCCCCACAATCACATACTCTAAGCTGGGGGGGAGACAGGGCAGCATTTCGGACCGTCGCTGGGACATTTGCAAACGTTCAGATTGGGAGGGGGGAATAATCCATCCGGCTCAGAGCCGGGAGGCGGGGGCTTGGTCTGTAAAGTGAGCTGAATTGTCGGCAGTGAGACAGCTGTGCAGTTGGTTGGTGCAGATCTCCCCAGAAGATTCCTTCTGTGCTTCTGCCCCGGGGCTCTGGGTCACGAATCCATCACGGGTTTTCTGTGGGAGCAGGTGAGGCAGGGCACGGGGTGGCTTCGTCTCTTTCAGGTAGGGCATCGGAACCCTGCTGGCTTTTGTATCGTGCTCCAGTGGTCCTGGGATGGGCCTGATCTCCCGCGGCACCAAAGTTGCCAGTCGTTTCCTCCGAAATTCTCCCCCCGGCCAGCCAGCCCCGCAATAACAAATCAGTCTTTGCTGGGGAGCAGCTGCGGATTCACGGTGGGGAATTAGTGAGTTAGTCTCTAAGGTTTATCCAAGAAGCCCTCTGAGCCCATCAGTGGACACGCCTCCTGCCCCGAACCCCAGAGACGCGTTAAGGGAGAATCTGACGCTCTAGCCCAGGGAGGTGACGGGCTCCGAACCCCCCCACACCCTCGTCCGCACCCCGCTGGCCCTGTGGGAAACGATGAGGAAAGCTGGCCAGGAACGCCTCTGTTCCTGAGCCGGTTGGTCCCTGTCGAGATTTCCCCTGGCCTAGGCCAGTGGGGAGAGACGCCCCGAGCTACCTCCAGGCTGCAAAGGGGGTCTTGCAGGGAGCTGCTGGAGGCGGTGGCAGGCACCTCTCAGCTCAGGCTGGACCGGGAAGGCGGATGCAGCCTGGGCATGGAGCGGGCAGCAGGGTGAGGAAGGGAGAAATGCGCAGGGATGGAGGGAGGTGCCAGCTGGCATCCCCAGATCTGTGCACTTCCGGCGGCATGCTTCACGCTGCCCTCCTCATGCCCACCTCCCTCTGCGGGCTGCCGGGATCTGGCCGCAGGCACAGCCCAGGGGCTGGCTTGAAGGGGGACCCGGTGCCCACTCTGGGCACTAAAGTGGCTGTGCTTGGTATCCTGGGCACTGCCCTGCCTTGGGCTGCTCTCTCAACCCTCCCCATGGCCACCTTAACCCTTCCTGGGAGGAAATGGGGGGTCACTGCCCCCCAGCCATGTGTCCAGGGCAGAGAAGGGTCCTCCACTGGGGGTGCCCCTCGGGAATGCCCGCAAGAATCTCTCAACTCTGGCAAAGTTGGGTAAAACTCTGGGGGAGGGGGAAGGGGACGTTCAACAAGCACCCAGTTCCCTGCCTCGCCGCCCCCTACTCCCCCGAAGACAGGCCTGGGACGCAGGCAGGGGATCCGGTTCCTTGGCTTTGAGACGTCGTGGTTTGTGCAGGAGGGAGGGCGGAGGGGAGGCGGGTCGGCAGTGCCCTCCGTGTGGGGGCAGGGTGGGGAGGCCTTCCCTCCCAGCAGGCCGTCCCCCGTCGTCCTAGTAAACCCAGCTGACAGGGACCCACTGGGGCTCTGCCCGCAGCCTCTCCAGGGCCTCCTGCAGCCGCTGGAATGTCCACTCCAGGTTGTCGTTGACCAGGCTGAGGTCGAAGTAGTGCCCGTAGCCACGCTGGATGCGGCAGCTCTCATCCACCGTCCGCTTCAGATCCGCCTCCTGCCCAGACACAAGCCCGGATGCCGCCCGTTAGCCTTGCCCCGGAGCTCTGGGCACAGGGGAGGCTGGGTAATGAGCACACGCCTCCAGGAAGCCCGGGGTCCCGAAAGAGCTTTGCAAAGGTAGGCAGAGGTGCAAACGAGGCAGAGCTCGCTTCACCCACCACTGGGAGGCAGCCACCTTTGGTGAGGAGCGCAGCAAGCTGTCGCTACAGGGATCCCAGCACTAAGAGGCATCTACCTCTGGGGTGGAGCTCGGCAGCCTTTTGAACGGCCACCCAGAAATGCTACTCAGCCCTTTGGGACAGGAAGTGAAGACGGATCCTGTAATCAACTGAAGATAGATGGGGGACTGAGGGAGGCAGAATATGATGAATTATAAGCCAGGAAAGGTTCTAGGGGCAGGGACAGCGCCAGGCACAATGGGGCCCATGTGCAGAAAGCATCCATGGGAAATGTAATGATTGGCAGCTGGAGCAGCACAGCGCCCTCTAGCGCCATGCTGTGGCACTGCACGCAGCACGGGCTGGCGAATCCCAACCACGGCTCCCTGCCCTCCTTCCGTCTTCCCCCAGGGGCTGCCCACGCCAGCCCGCCCCTGCTTCGCCACAGTCTGGGTCAGTGCAGCCTGGCTGGTGGGAGCAGGTGGGGCCAGCCTGCCATTCCCTGGAGGCCAGCGGCAGGAGCTGCATGGGACACCCGCCGTGCCAGCCATCAGAGCGGGGGTAACAGCCCAGCTCTCCTGGGTGGCTCTGGGAACGAACCGCACCGTGCACTTGGCGAGGAGATCGCCCTGCCGACCCTTCCGGATGGAGAGTCCGACCTGTGGCCACGTTCAGGGAGGCGCTGGAGGGGGAAGCACTGAGCACCTGCCTCTAAAGGGGCCATGAAGGCCACCAGGAAGCACCAGCAGAGAGGAGCACGCCCTGATCCCAGTGCATGTCGCACATGTGCTTTTGGACAGAGCCATGTGCATACCTGGGCACGCCCCGTGGAACCCGAGCCTGCCCCAGCTCAGCCATCCTGGGTCATGTGGGCCAAGGACAGAGATGAAAGTAAGCCGGTCCGCTCCGGTCCGATCCGGCGTACCGGCAATAACTGGTACACAGCCGTCCCGGCAGCAGCCTTTCAATGGCTGCCCGAGCCCCGGGGCTCCCAGCCACCGCCACATCTACCGCTACCTTGGGGCTCCGGCAGTGATTTAAAGGGCCCGGGGCTACCAGCCATCACTACCGCAGCCAGAGCCCCAGGCCCTTTAAATCTCGATTTAAAGGCCCTGGGGATTTAAAGGCCCCGCCTCTTCTGGTTGAGGCCCCACCCCTTCCAGTTGAGGCCCCGCCCCCTGCTCAGGACTCCAGCGTACCAGTAAGTTCTTTAAGTTACTTTCACCCCTGGCCAAGGACATGGCGTGGGCCAGGTGATCGGGGAAGGCCCTGTGACCCCAATGTCTCATGGCACCACGTGAGGGAAGGGGGGCTGGACCCCCTGCTCTCGTGGCACCGTGTGGGGCTGGCGTGGACTCACCGTGAGCTGCTTCGTGGCCACGCCGCTCTCCAGTGCCGCCTTGTTCATGGCTCGGAGCGTCTCATAGTCCGGGGCTTCGATGAAGACCACGTAGGGGACGAATTCGGCTGTTCTCAGCACCTTCACCGCCTGGATAACACAGAGCCAGGCTGTCAATGTGGACCTAGGACCAGGGGACAGGTGTGAAGGGGGACCATGCAGCCGGGGGGCTGGGAATGGGACCCAGAGCTTTTTCCCGCTGCTCAGAGCCAGCCCTGGCGGGTAGCGACCAATAACTGTTACCAGCTATGGCCATGGGGAGACAGTGTTTCCCGATGGTTAGGCACTAGGCTGGGAACCCGGAGACCTGGGTTCTCCCCCTGGATCTGTCACTGACCTGCTCTGTGCCTCAGTTCCCCCTCCCACCTTTTGTCTTGTCAGTTGCATTATAGGACAGGGACCCTTCCCCTGCGTGTGGGCACCGCCCACTAGGTGTGTGCCCAGGCTCAGCAGAGAGGCCGGGTACTCAGTGGGCCCCGGACTGCGCTCCCCTCCCAGTCAGGCTGTGACAGGTGGCTGGGGTGGGTACAGGGGAAGCTTGCCTCTCCTTTGCTCAAGCTGTGGCCATTCTCCAGAGCTTCAAGCCCGAGCCCTAACCTCCCCTCCAGTATAATTAGGGGCTTCCCAGCGGGGCCTGTCCCCGTAGCGCAAACCTGCGGGTTCACATCCAGGATGCACATCTTGCCGGACTCCACCACCTCATGGATGGAGTCGATCTTGGTGCCGTAGAGGTTCCCCTCATACTCCCCGTGCTCCAGGTAGCGGCCAGCCTTGATGTCCGCCTCCATCTCCCCCCGTGACACGAAGCAGTAGACCTGGCCGTTCCTCTCCTGGTCCTTGGGCTTCCGCGAAGTGTCTGCCAAGGGGCACGGTAGCGCGAGTTACAAGGGGACCGGACCGGAACCTCAGACCCAAACACCCCCCAACTCCAGGAACCCAGAGAGCCAGTGCCACGCTCTGGGACCCTCCCTGTAATGGGCAGAACCAGAAGCCCAGCTCCAGACACCCCCCAACTCTGGGATCAAGCCGGGGGATCAGCTTGAATCAAAATCATCATCCAAAACTTGGGAACCAGCCCCCAGCCCTCGCTGTGCGGCTGGCCCGTCTCCCTACACTGGGCTGAGCCAGAACCACAAGCCCAAACGCCCACAAACTTTGGGAAACGGCAGATCTAGCTGCCACCTGGCTGAACGGCGTGTCAGGGCCGGAAGCCACCAAGTCCTGCCTTGCGATCTCAGGGACAGCTCGCTGGATTTCAAAGCGCTTACGGGGAGATTGGAGCGGCCCGTCCCACTGCACCCCTCTTGGGGGTCTTTGTCGCCTGCAGCCCATCTGGCAGCAGCAGGAGCCTGAAATTCAAGCGGCAGACGCACCCCACGTTCCACAAGTGGAGGCTTCATGGCAATGGGGCCTGCCTGCGGCGGGGGAGGTGTCATGCCCCCACCCCTCCAATGACACAACGGGCAAAGGGTTTGGAGATCGGGTTAGCAGCCTGCTGTGTATCTGGCTGCTTCTTGGATCCCCCTCGGGCCCGGCAAAGCTGGCCAGCCTCATTTGCAGAGTCTCAGCATGGCCTGCTTCCCTTGTTCAGGCCGGGACTGGCACCAGAGCCGGCCGACTCAGAGACTCCGTTCCATGGGCACATGGGGGCTGGGAGGACGGGGGGGGGGGATAATTAACCAACCAGATCTCTCTACGGTTCAGTGTTCGGGATCAGATTCGGTCTGACTCTGGTTTCATCCTTGTTTATCACACACACACCCTGGCTCAGTGACAGAGGGATAACTCAGTGGTTTGCGCATTGGCCTGCTAAACCCAGGGTTGTGAGTTCAATCCTTGAGGGGGCCATTTAGGGATCTAGAGCAAAAATCTGTCAGGGATGGTACTTGGTCCTGCTAGTGAAGGCAGGGGGCTGGACTCCATGACCTTTCAAGGTCCCTTCCAGCTCTATGAGATAGTTATATCTCCATATTAAATAAAAACATCTCACGCCACAGAGCCCAGGGATGCAGATGAGGTGCAGGGTGGACTTTTCCTCACCACGGGGTGCTGCTCCATTACAAACAGGCCTACCTGAGCCCTCAACTCCCGGTCAATTACACTCCCAGGCGATTCTCCATAGGGCCCCCCCATGCCCATCACACCCACAAGCAGTGGCGCAGCGGCAAGCCAATTCCGATGAGCCTGGAGGGCTGGAAAGACCTTGCTGTGCAGGACACGCTGCCCTGGCTCCTAGCCAGGCCCTGGGCCAGCGTCAGTCTGCCTGGCTGGCTCTCCAGACCCTGTGCTGAAGGACGGGGGGGCAGGGGCTTTTCGTCCCCAGGGTCTGACAGCTGCCCTGCCCGGTGCTCCGGGCGCCTTCATCCCAAACCTCCGAGTGCGTCCCCCGAGGGCCGGCCGTGCGTGGGGCAGGGATGCCCACGCCGGCCGGCCGCAGGGCACGCTAAGAGGACCCAGAGGCGCAAGTCACATGAGGCCAGGCCACGCGTCACACTCAGCACCAGCCCCCTCTGGAGCAGGGGTCAGATTAGGGAAAAGAGATCCGGGTGCGCATCGGGGTTAGCACTGGCTCCAGGGGGCAGAGCGCCCCTCCCCTGCTCCCAGAAGGGCTGGGCAGGGGTGGGGGAGGCAGTCTTGACTCACACGGGATGGTGGTCCCGTAGCGCGCCTGGTCCGACATGATGAGCTTGTTCTTGAGGCTGCGCCGCCCGACGCCCTGGGCCCCGATCAGCACCAGGGTTTTCCTGCGGAACGGGGGCATGCGGGCCACCTCCTCGTAGATCAGCAGCTCGTGCCGGTCAAACTCTGGGCGGGATGGGGAGGAGAAAACAGTCAGCGCCGGTCGGGGGGCGGGGCAGCATGCGGTGGAAGGGGGAAGGATCATTTTGGGATTCGGGGCAAGGTCCGGACTAGGAGGCAGGAGGAGGAGGGGGGAAGCCCGCCCAGGGCGTGGGCAGCCTGGGGCACTCACCTGCATTTTTCGTGGTCAGGTACATCATCCTCTTCTTCTTCTTCCCGCTGATGCTGCCGCACAGGGCACCTGCGGAGAGCAGAACGGACTCATTCAGCCCAGCGGGAAGCAGATGCTGCCACAGGCAACCCCAGCAGGGATCGGGGTGCTGGCCTGGCTGGAGATATTCCCCGGGGTTTGGGGTGTCGGGGCAGTGCCACTGCAAACCCCTAGGACACAGCCAGGGTGTGTGGGGGCCCATCACCCCCCTGCGGGCACTGGCCACCAGGCTGGGCGCTGGCCTGGCTCAGGGCCCTGCCGTAGGGGGCAGGGAGGGTTTGGGCAGCAGGGTTCCCCCGCAGCGCTCTGGGGATGGGGATCAGGGCCCTGCGTGCACTGGGGCCGGCCTAGGGCATCTGTGGGCGCCTCCTACCGGATGTGGGGGGGACTTCGAGGTCGCGCTTCACAAACGCCTTCCGCTTCTCCTCCAGCAGCTGGCTCGGGATGAGGCCGGCGCTGCCGCCCTCCACGTGGCAGGCCTGAAACGGCACCCGGGCATGGTGAGCCAGCCAGGGTCCCCACAGCCACCACCCATCATATGGGGGCCCCTTACGGCCCCCACCCCCAGAGCCCCACGCCTGGGGCCCACCAGGGCCTCCACCCTCTGGAGCACCCCTGCCCTAGGGCCAACCACAGCCCAATTTCCAACCTCCTCCAGGGGCGACCCATAGCCCCATCAGCACAGCCCCCCTCCCCCGCCCTGGGGACACCCACAGCCCCATCACCACAGCTCCCCTCCCCTGCCCTGGGGACACCCATAGCCCCATCACCACAGCCCCCCTCCCCCGCCCTGGGGCCACCCACAGCCTCATCACCACTGCCCTCCCCCCCCACCCTGAGGATACCCACAGCGCCCCCACCCTGGGGCCACCCACAGCTCCCTTCCAGGGAGCCCCACCCACCCTCAGCCCCCATCCCCAGACCCTCACCCTCCAGCCGGCTGCCGTTGAGCTCCATGGCCGCCCTCAGCGCCATCCCTCGATCAAACCAGCAATGACCATGGGGTCCCCTCGTCAGCCCCTCCATGCCTTGGGGATGGGGGGTGTTCCATGTGGCATGACCTTCCCCACCTCTGTAACCCGTCCCTCCCATCCAAGCCATCCCAGGGTGCAAGGCAGTACCCAGGCCTGGGTCAGGCCACGCGGTGGGGGATTCGGGACCACCCAACTGTCCTCACCTGCCACCAGTTGGGGTCGTCCTGGTTGACGATCTGCAGCAGGTCCCCGGCCGTGAATTTTAACCCTGCCTCCTTGCAGGGGATGAGGTTATCGCTGGCCGGGTCGTAGTCAAAGTGGGACTTCACAAACACCTACGGGGAGAGCGGGGGGGTCAGCCCCAGGCAGGGAGAGCAGAGGGGCCAAACTCTTTGGAAAATCCAGGCCCGGCTGGGCTGTGCCGAGCACCTGGAAATCCATTTCCCCGCCCCCTGGGACGGGTTGGAGCCGAGAGCGGCTGTGACAACCGGCCCTGCGTCTCAGACTGTGGGTCGGGGCCCTGTTGTAATGGGGTCACCAGGGCTGCTGTTAAACTTGCTGGGGGCCCAGGGCTGAAGCCAAAATCCAAGACCCACCGCCCAGGGCTGAAGCCGTAGGCACCGACTTCCCATCTTCCCAGTGGGTGCTCGACCCGCCCCCTCACCCCTGGCCCCGCCCCAACCCCACCTCTTCCCATACCACCCCCATTCCACCCCTTCCCCAAAGTCCCCTCCCCACCCCGCCTTTTCCCACCCCAGCCCCGCCCCCACTCCACCCACTTCCCCCAAGTTCCTGCCCTCCCTCTTCTCTGCCTCCTCCCCGCTCCTCCCCCTCCCTCCCAGAAAGTCCTAAGCGCCGCCAAACAGCTGTTAGGCGGCAGGGGGGCAGGAAGCGCTGAGAGGGAGGGGGAGGAGAAGGAGGCAAGACGGGGGGAGCTTGGCTGCCAGTGGATGCGGAGCCTCACAGCACCCACGGAGTTGGCGCCTATGGCTGAAGCCCTCAAGCTTCGGGGCCCCCCCAAAGCGGGGGTCTCAGGCTTCAGTCCCCCTTCCTGGGGTCTTGTAGTAATTTTGGTTGTCAGAAGGGGGTCGCGGTGCAATGAAGTTTGAGAACCCCTGACCCAGCCCAAGGAACAGAGCTGGGAGAGACACACTGACTTAGACCGGATGAAACAGCCTCCGGCTCTCACTCAACGACGGGGTCACGGTTATGCCTGGTACACGAGAGCAGCCGAGGACCAGAAATCAGTGAACCAAAATCGGGGTGTCGGATATTAGGCCTAATTGGTGGACCCAATAATGGGGTGACATGTTGGGCCCAGCCCTGCCCAGACATATGCCAAACGGTTCCCGGGGCAGCCCCGGGCCGGGTGCAGAGCCGGGGTCACGGAGCAGAGCTGGTTGCAGTTCCTGACACTGGGGCTGGAGTTGGCCCATTGCAAAGCCCACAGGATCGCAGCGGGTGTGAATCAGGGCCGAGCAGGGCCACACCTTTCCCACCCAGCCCACTGGCTCTCTCAGGGGACGTCTACCCTGCAGCCGGAGTGTCATTTCCAACTTGGGCAGACATCCCCATGCTGGCATTGAGCGAGCTCGTGGGCTGGAAATAGCAGCGTGGCTGCAGCCAACCGGGTGGCGGGAGGGGCCAGCCAAGATCCTCACATAATCCCCTGACTCCAGGAGCTGGAGCTTTGAGAAAAAAACACCAAATATTGCAGCTGGCAACACTGCTGCCCAGCACAGCGAGGCCCTGATCTCAGCTGGGATCCCTAAATGCTGCTGTCAGAGAAATAATATTTTTGAGTCGTGTGTGCAGCCCAAAAACACAGCGGGTATTCACTGGGCACCTCAGTGCCAACGAATGCTCATCCTGGTGCGGCAGAGAACTTTGGCTCAGCTCCACAGCTGGCTGCCAGCCACAAGCCCCTGCCCGGCTATGTTTCATGCACCTCCCTCCCTGTTTCTATTTATTGGACATCCCTTTTAATATTTATTGCTGAGAGATAATCCTCTTTCATTCCACAAAGGGGATGATCATCCATCCCTTTTCCCCCAGCTCCCAGCCAGCAACTGCCGTACCAGCCCATCCGAAGTGCCCTCTTTCTCTTCACACACCTGCCCGCCCACTAACTTCCCGTCTGTCTGTCTGAGCTTTTATCACAACCCCAGTCCCTGCAGCGTCCCCAGCACCTCCCAGATCCAGCAGCCCGGCCCACACGGAGAAAACAGGGGGTTAGCGCCTCTGGGAGCTCAAAGGTGTTCATTGTTAAATCGAACCTTAGCCGCTAGTGCAGAGAGGGGTTTAAAACTCATCTTGGCTGGTCATGGTGAAGCCCAAGAGCTTGTCTACACTGGAAAAAGGGGTGGCTTGCTAATATGCATTCGCCAACACCTCTTAAAATCCTAGTCTACACTAGCAGAGCTCCCAGGTCTGGGACGCCCGGTGTACGCTCCCAGCAAAGCACTCCTGGTGTGGATGCAGCTATAGTGGCTGCACGACAGAGCCTACACCGACGTAGCCCCCTAGCCTACGCTGATGGGAGGAGTTCTTCCGTTCACCTCTCTGAACTGCGGAGAGCACTCTGTGTTTTGTCTACACTAGGGCTTTCTGCCAGCACGGCGGTACCGGTCAGGGATCACACCTCTTCCCACCTCTGAGCGACACAGCTATGCCGGCAGAAGCCTGGAGTGTAGACAGGCCCTAGTGCGGAGTGAAGGCAGCTGTAGTTTGAACAGGTGTTAGCTGGTCTGGGTCAGTGGTTCTCACTGTCTTCCGTGGGGTTTGATCCCAGCACCAGCCAACCCCCCCGGGCCCTGTGGCTGTCACATGGGCAGAGCCCACAGCCCACCTTGGCAGGAGCATGGCCAGGAAGGGAGGGGTCATCGGAGCTGCTGGGACAAGGAAATTCTCCTGGGGCATGTGAGGAGAGCTGGGGGATTAGAGAGGTAAACACACACACACACACACCCGCCACTGATGGGATTATCTGCCACCAAATCCAGCACAGACAG